CACTTATAGTAAAAAACATAAATTAGACTTTAAAATAATCATAAATTTGTATAGCGTATATTCAATTTATGATATTTCTAAACTATTGTAATTTTCAATTAAATCAATAATTTAATATGCGTATTGACTTGCATTGTAGACCACATCTATCCACCCTGAAGCCTCCAATAAATAAAATAAAATACTAAAATTTCTCATTAAAAATTAAAATATCCCACCTTGTGTTTTTTAAAAAGGGTCAACCCATTATTTATACCATGCTAGACATCTAATGACCTTTTTCCTCCTCATGTTTTAAATCACAAGCCATTTTAAATTTTGTCTATGTCAAATTACTTGAATTAGTTTATAAAAAACATGAATTAGTTTATAAAAAACATAGTAACATTTGCAACATAAAACAATTATATTATAAAAGCATATTAAATTTTGAGTTCGATAAATATAATTTGATGTTATAAATATTGATATATTTTTCCTCATTAGTGGAAGTAGTTAATTTCTCTTAACATGCATATTGGGGCTATTTACTTATACTTGATCTTAGATGCGCTTTTATGAATAAATGATCTTTTTAGAGATAAATAAACGTTCCTAAGATGATCATAACATCTAAATTGTACATATGATATCTGATGCCACTAATAGATTAGAGAAAAAAATTTAATTATATTATTTTTTTATGTCATAACGTGTACCCGTCTAGGATATATTTGTCATAGACAATAGATTGAAAACATTTAAGGATGCCTTTATCCCATGCCAAGTCATATGGTTTTAACCCACTTATATTTCTATTTCAACTTGCAGAGATCAAAACATTTAAGGGATGCTGGATGAATGGAAATCTAGAAAAATAATAATAACATGATAAAAATAATTGAAGACTGAACTTTTCTTTTCTAAATTTAACATTTTTTTATTTGAAACCCATTCTCAATGTTCAAATATTTTAATTTTAGGAGTACTGATATAATGAAAATAACTAAAATTTTAAATAAAATATAATAGGAATTTTGACTTTTCGGCATTATGTTGGAAACAAAATCTAACACAATTTCAGTTCAAAGTATACAACCCTAAACTACAACTTGGGAGCAATAAAAGTCTCATTTTGTAATATATTTTCTGATTGAGAAAAACATTTATCGCTAAACCGCAGTTTCATAATTTAATACTATATACTTACAATTAAATCAACATTTCAACATATTTAGCTCTTTTAATTAGATGATGTAGTCGTATTAGCCATATTTTTAATAGAAAATATCTATGTATAAATGATATATAGTTTCATATATATTTTTTCTTATAAAACCAAAAAGGCATGGTTTCAAGTAATTTTAGTTTAGAATTTATATGTCGGCGATGGTTACTAGCATTCAGCATTCAGAGAAACACCACACAAATTATTGAAAAATTAAATATGTTTACAATTGAGTAATCATAAACATTCTTAATCAAATTTCTAATACAATTAAATAAGATGCCCGCGCATATGCGCGGGCTACCTTCCTAGTTACAAATAAATCTTGGAATTGTATGAAAAAAAATAAGCGCAAAAACGTGGTAACGGTGCTGAAGTGCTGAACCATCTCCAGAGTCCTACATGGCTCGACAGAAAAAGGAAATAAACATCCATGGGCAAAAAGAGAATCAAACAGGACTAAGAAAAAAAATAGACCTAGATGCTATAGCTTACACATAGAGAGGAGAAAATGCAAAGGAGAAGTGGGAAAGAATCTAGAAGGATTGATGGGGCTTAAAAGATTTTTACTAGGCAGCAAAATATCAGGTATAGACAGTGGAGCCCGGTTACACTGTAATTTTTATCAAGAAGTATATTTTTTTCCAACATAGATACTTATATTAAATCCTTTAGCTCATAAAAAATTCTGTAAACTTAACCAACATATGCACAACTGACAATTCTTTTCGTGACCATGTTCTCAAATTATGGTGAAGGTGTTTGAAGTAACCTTAACCTGGTCGGGCTCTGTTGAACTTTTTGGTCGATGTCGAGAAACATTGCCGGCTGTAGTTTTTTGGAGGTAGTTAACTGGTGCGATTCACTTTCTTCATTTTTCCAAAACAGGGGATGGGATCGTATTCCTGCTGTATACAACAGAATGAATTTTACTGTTAAGGAACTATGTGCGTTAGGTGATAATTATGAAGATGTTAACGGTGAAATTTGGTAAGCCCCTAAGAGAATTATCACATCGTCAATAGTCGGATTCCTGCTATATTCGGTATAGGAAATTAATCTGTTAAAGAAAGCTTATCCATAAGTGACCGAGTTCAAGGAGTATGCGGCATGGCAGTTTATCTATTAATTAGGCAGTATTTGGTAGTTTCCTTTAGGAAAGTGTGTTTAGTGTCCAATAAGGACTTTATATTTTCCTTTTAGCTTTAAGAAAGTTTCTTTCTTATCCTTACAAGGACTAATATCTACACATGACTATAAATATATACACCATGGGTCATTGTAATTTATCTCTAAATCAATACTACTCTTGGCGTATCGCCACCCTCTTTTATGAATTTTTTACTTATTCAACCGGTGGAATTTGGCACCTGACGTGGGGCTGCATCAGTTCAGTTCGATCTCCGGCGAAGGGGTAAATCCTAGGTTCCGCCGGCCCAGGCAATTGTATCGTCTACGTTGGCATCGTTCAAGGCTGCATCAGTACATTCGACCTCTTGGATTGCTCTGGTTTGGATGATATATTTGTCTGTTTATTTATCATATGTTTTAGTTAATCTAGTCTTAGTATCTCAATTTAGCTTTATCGGTTGCCTCTCGCTTTAAGGTTACTGCCGGTATCGGCTAAATTGTTTTACTAGATTAGATTAGCTAAGGCATCTACCACCCTGAAAATCAGTCAAGGGCTTGATTGTCTAGATATTATGTTTCTTTTCATACTTAGTGCTACATCAATTAAGTTTGATCTATTAAGTCATGCTTAGAACCATAATCTCTAGTCTGCTTGTTGACTGCCAATAAGGGCTTCATCGGGGTTTCAGTCGATGAGTTATCTGGACGTTGCATCGATTTATAAGGATTGCATATATAAGTTGGACTTAGCCGATGACAACAGAGGTTTCATTGTTTAATCTAGTCTTGTGGATTTTATAGTATCGGACCTCTAGCCGATGTATTCTTTAACCTTCGGATCAATGCTTATTCTATCATGTCATTGTTAGCCAATTGGTTTCTATTGGATTATATTATTGTTATATCTTATTATCACCAGCCGATTGTCTTTATATCATTATCTACATTGGACATATAGCCAATTGCTCAAAACCTTATCGACATCGGCTGGAATTGGCATCGGTTGGAATTACTCCATCGGCTTGTCAGCCGATCGGCTCATTGATATACTGTTTACATATCTTGTCAGTTGTAGGATCAAACTGACTGGCACGCCCGTATCTCATCAAGATTTGGACCTGCACTAGAGCTAAGCAGATCTCCCAGGCAAGTGTGTGTTTTTCGCGTCAACAATTTGATCACCTTAATTTAGGCAAGTGTGGCAATATTTGTTGGCCCAATTTAAGCAAGTGCGACGGAGCTCCTACGGACGGCAGTGGGGGCGGCGGAGGACGACGGTGGCCTGAGCGTCGACGGCCACTTTGCGGCAAGAAGAAGTTGGTTCTGGCGGTGACCCCATAGGCAGTGGTGGCGGCGGCCCTAGGGGTGCAACCCAGGATGACGGCGACGAGGAGCAGGCAGAGGTCGACACCGGTGACGGCAACGGGGGCGGCAGCCCTAGGGGCAACGGTGGCCCGGAACAGCGACAACCTAAGCACTGGTGCAAGACCCTCGGCAAGGAACAGGTGGAGGTCGACCCCATCGGCAGCACTAGGTATGGCAGTGGGCTGAGTTCGGAAGGCAGAAGAACATCTCTGGTGACAACGGCAACGTACTATGGGCGTGGAGGCCTAGGATCCGGCAAAGTGGAGGTCGATCCCATCGGCTCGTGTCCGGTGAACTAGTTCTGACTAAACGACGAGCGACGATGGATGAAAGTAGGCTAATTGGCGGCGCATGGCATCAGCTCACCTGAAACGAATGAAGATGGCATCAACGGCGACTAGATGAATTCCACTCGTCGAATCTGGCCATTTCATGAGAGTATGTCGAGAAGCAGAGAAGTAGGGGTGTGCCAAGGTCGTTTTGTTTTTCTTTCTTTTTTTGTTGTATTCTCCTTCTTATTGAGGTGTGAGTCTAAGTGCTCTTGTATCTTTTTGGTTGTATATATCCTTTGTGGATATAGAGACCGATTTATTAAAAATCCATTATCTAAAGAAAGAGTGTAGGATAGAGTTTGACTTTTACTTTATTCCTAACAATGTATAAAACTTTTATATTTATATTCTTAACAACTTAAAAGTCAAATGCTGAAAAAAATACATCGAAAATATCTTGAAATCAACTTCAAAATTAAGTTTTAAAATTTAAAATTTGGTTTTTTGCTTTTGTTTTTTAAGGCAACCAATGAGGCTGCATATTTATCGGACTATATTTGAGGATTCTAATTAACTTGTGCTCGGGAAATAAAATGTACTTCCTCCGTTTCATAATGTAAGTCATTCTAACATTCTCCACATTCATAGTGATGTTAATGAATCTATATATATATATATATATATATATATATATGCACGCGCGAAATGCTAGAATGACTTACATTGTGAAATGGAGTATTTCTTGCTGGCTTCACGAAGATCTCTTTAGGCCAAATCTCTCTCAACATACTAAGAGGAACAGATCGACACGGTTTCCCCGGAAAATCAAGACGACGATGCATGATCTAAGCTGAATGTTTAGTGCTGACATTAGTACCAGGCATAAAGCCTGAGCATTCTTTATCCTCCTCGTGAGAAAGAAACATAACATTGTCTTGTCCCCTTTATTATGCCTTTCGATCCCAATAGTACAGTCTCACTGCAATAAGCAATATTTTCTACAGAAGAGTACAACTCTGTGATCGGGAAAAAAACAAAACAATAATAACATCGGTGTGTTGTGAGAACAGAGAGAGATACACGCCTCTTCACCTGTTGCCGTGTTTGGCATTCAGCACTGAGGCAAACTGAAGTTACTATTATATATATATACATCGGTAGCGCATCGGTATGACAATACGTTATAACGCAAAGAATCGTTAGTTGCTTGTCCGGGAAAGAAATCTTTGCAAGTCGTGCTGATGTACAACTTCAACTTACTGGTAGAGCTCGTGCTGTCGCTCATGGACAGTGTTCACTGCTCAGCGCTTCTGCTCCCCCCATTGCTGTCCTTCGAAGAATTCCCCCAACAGCTGCTCCACCATCTCTGGGCTGTACCTCACGTATTTGTGCGGGTTCTTGCCATTCTCAACAAGGTTACTGCAACGTCAAATGTGTATATGGTACTGTCATTATCTTGGAACAGAAGGGAGGAAACATAAAACGTTGCAGAAGTAGCCACTGTCATGCTCACGCCACTATTCCATCGTGCGTGCACTATGCAGTTACCTTTGTGGTTTGACAAGGGACCGAATTGACAGTGAATCATTTAACAGTATAGACAAATGAGAGATTTTCTTGTAGGGGGATTGACAAATAGGATTACAGTTTAGGATACTACATCGAACTCTCAAAAAAACTTCAGACGAAGCCAAATAAATCGATTGCATGGATGACACTGGGCAGAGTTTAAGTTTAGCGCAGATGTCAAAAAAGTTATGGTTGTAAGGAGAAGATGAAAAGTGACTGTTAACGCACCCGAAACGTTTGACAAACGACCGATAGGCTGGTAACAGAACCTCAGCTACCGCAAGCCTCAAGGATTCACGCAATTCCTGATCAGGTACAATCCACTGAGATTGCTTTGCATGGAGCTCTTCGAATTGCATGTTGAAAGATTTAAACCTGCCAAGGCAAAATCATAATGTTTTGTGACTCCAGTTATTATTTATATCCGAGCAGTGTAAAACAAGCGGCCAAGGTACCAACCGTTCTTTGATCATAGCTCTTGAAACCCCACTGCTGCTAAGATCTGATGAACCAGTGCTGCCCGCACCTTGTATGGAAAGAGTCTGGAGAATCTGAAATAACAGAAGCATCAAGCATGGCAGCTATAGTTTATAACCAACTGTTATTCAATATGCAGAATCATGTAACAAGCACGTTAACTACCAAATCCACAAGGCTTGATTTCATAAAAAGAAAGCCTTTGTAGGAAATAAAGCTATCACAGTAAAATTATTATCTCTGCGATTCAGCGTTGCCACATACATTAGTTTACAAAATTGCATTGAGTTAACATGGCATCTGTATACGTTAGTTCTGTAAAACTACATGTACACAAGGAATTTGCAGGTGCTTTAATTTTTAATCTGATAGTAACACCATAATAACTAAAGTTGCCACTTTTGAAGCTCAGCTTTGTAAAAAGATTCGTATTGGGGCATAACCAACTCAAATTTGAACCGGCTGGCACAGAAATGGAGGAATGTGGACAAAAGTCTTACAAGTGCTTTGGATTGTCACACAAACTAGCATGCTGTTTTCTAAAATAAAATTAACAAAGAGGTCCACATAGGTAAACACCATGCAGCCAAACAAAAAAGGAAACTGGTGTGCACTTTTTTTTTTGGTGAACGCGCAAAAGCCTTGCGCATCGATATATCAGCAGGAAACTGGTGTGCAGAACACTAAATAATTTGTCGATCCACTTACCTTTGCCCAAGCAACACGTTTATACTGATTGGCATTTTGCTGCACAATTCTACGGTGCCTCTGAATCCAGTCATCACCAAGTATATCCTTTGCTTCTGATCTGAGGAAACACAGAACAACATTAAATGAGCATATTGCCAGTATTTATAGGATGCAGATTCAAAGAGAGGAGGCAAACATACCTACGAACAGATCTGACCATATAATGAATGTTATTCATCAGAAATAAGTAGGTCAATGCAGGATCCCTGTACTGTTTAGATTTTCCATCCAAGTTATTTTGTAGGGCTTGCATTATCCTCATGGTAACAACAGCAAGTTGAGATTCTGTCTCACTACCAGTTTCAAATTCCTGAAATAGTAGCTTCAGTGTCGATTGGTAACTGTTCATACAAGGAAATGTTGTTAGGTTTGTGATAAGAATACAGGAAAACTATAAACAAATTAGACCATTCTTGATGAACAATAGTAATGTAATAGAGAATATGTATGTATGGAATAGTAGATCAGAAGTTTGCTTTGAACCGTTAGGAATTAGTTCAGAACAGAAACAAAATAGGGGGGAAAATAAAAGTTTCTGTCCACCTAAATTTATGTATAACTATTAGTAAATTTTTCACTGCAGTAATTTTGGTGATTGAAGTTCTTTCTATTTCCTCCCTAATTGTTATCTGCACTCTCCTCAGTAGATGTGAAGCTCAGAGTAATTCTTGACGGATAGAACTATGAACATATAGACACATAGATACTCATCGCGATCATTGTACCATACCTCACTCAAATTGTAGTGATTTACGAATCTACATGTCCATGAATTTGAATACTAAGTTAAAAGTGAGTACTTACTCAAATAAGAATTTAACATAATTAATCACATAGCTAGTCAAAGGATGCACAGTTCCATCATTAACAATAGTCTTCGAAGCATCCTTTTCAACAGCCTCCTCAAAATCAGCAAAGGTTTCTTGAGCAGTCTGAGCCAAGCGCTTAGCCAAGCCCAATGAAGCCTCCCGCATCTCAGAGCATGATTTTCCTTCGAAAATCACCTCAATCTGGTAACAAGTTCAAACAAGCATAGGGTTGAAATTTTGTAGTCTTCATAGTGAAGAGAAAACCATAACGACATGAAAAGTCTCACAAGCTAATTGTGGAAGTGAAAGAATGAGTAAATCATGCAGGAGTCAGGTCTCAACAAATAACTTCCAGAATACCTCGGGTTGAAGTTCATGCATTACTTCGTACATGTCTAGCAATACAAACAACTTTTCAGGAGACCTTTTGCTTTTAGCAACGGCATCTCCAAAGCTTAGAAGAGTCACGACACTATTTGCTGTCAGTTCAGCAAAACATTGATCCTTGTTAAAGTTGACACCATCAAAAATCTGGTCACAGATTTTTCTTTCACCTGCTAGTAGTAGTTTGACCTGTGTCGTAAGCAAAATATGAGTCTTAAGGTCTGAATATACACAATATGGACCTATTCTCAGAAGAATCCCCACCGCAATTCGCATAAAATGGATCCAGTTTCCAATTTTAGCCTCCAAAGCTTCCCACTGCATCTTCTGTACATCCTCTTTACTAAGCTTCTCTACTCCTAATTTCCGAAGGCTCGATTCTAGTGCAGATCCACGGGTATCTCTGAAAAAAGATGAACAAACTAGCTTGATGTTTGCACAACTGTAGTGTTAAAAGAACTCAGGATAGTTGTGGAGTGAAACTAACAGGAACACAGACTAGATGTAAAAAATCATAATCCAAACCCACCTGTAAATTTTATAGCATGACTGCTGATTTCCAGCCTGAATGAGCTGCTGAGCGATGTCATTCATGAGAGGCAGGATTCTTGGAGGAATTAGTGTTGGTGTCCGGTATACTGCAGTCTCCAAGCTTTTGGATGGATGCTCAGAGTGGCCAGCATTCCCTGGATCAGCGTCAGGATCATCTTTTGTTGGCCGCAGAGACTTGGGAAGACAATCAAAGAGACGATCAGGCTCAATAGGTTTGCTGCAAGTAGAGAACAACATAAAATTAACTATTCTTTTGCTGGCATACTAGCAATAGCTCAGGAGTCGATCATGGATGTGGAATGATAATAGAGACTCTTACCTGTACGTAGTCATCAGCTGCCTAAATTCCTCTTCAATTTTCAGAGCAGACTTAGCCAACAGGTTGTTGACATGATTCAGAACTCCTTCACTGCTCTTGAAGTTCTTGTTTGTGGAAAAGAAGCGAACGATGCCTTTGAGCAGATCCACTGCCTCCAGGTAGCTCTCTAAATCCTCATGAGGACCCTTCAATACCGCTGCCTCAGCCTGAAGATCGAAAGCAAACATTTGCGCAAAGTCACAAATCCAATGCAGAGTCTGGACTTGAAGTATTACAACCTCAAAGCCAATTTTCAGGTACCTACGAAACTACTATCTTGTAAAGGAATTTCAATTAGCTACCAGTTTAGATCTTTTAAGATCATCTAATAGTAATTTATTCAGAAATGTTCAGAACTTCTGAACATGGTGAAAATGGAATGCAACAGTTGTGCCATTTTCCCACCATACTTAATCCCTCCAGATCTATACAATGTCATGATCCACAACCTCATCCAATCCCAAACATATAAAATTGACTGTCAAATTCATCAAAAAATGTAGGAAAATTTCAGTGTGGAAGAAGTACCCGGCGCGCAAGGTCGAACTGGGAGAGGATGCCATCGGCGGCCTTGATCGTCTTGTCGATGTTCTCGTGCGCCATCCGGATCGCGTGCGTCCTCACCTGCAAACCCCCCACCAAAACATGACCCCACACACACACACACACACACACACACGAGTTCAGTTCATACGAATTCCGTGCCGGCGCTGCTACAAATTTCGCCGAATGAAACAACGGAAATGGTTCAAATGTGGAGGAGAGGGGCGGGGTTGGGGTGCGGATGCTACCTACCTGGGTGGGGCGCATGGCGGCCTCGAGCGCGGAGAGGCGGTGGTCGAAGGATCCGAGGATGGTGACCATCCCGTCCGTGTTCCCCTGGCTCCTCTGCAGCGAGTCCCGCAGCATGCTCGCCCGCTTCGACAGCGCCTCCGCCGTCTGCGGCCTCGCCGCCGCCGCCACCACCATATCCCCCGATTTCACACTACCCTCCTCCTCCTCCTCCTCCTGACAGATCAAGCGACGACGCCGCCTCCCTCTCCGCGCGATCTCGAGGAGGCGAGGAGAGGGGATACTGGATTGTTCTGGAAGGTTCTAGAGGGGTAGAAGCGTGAGGCGGTGGCAATGGAGTGGGGAGATGCGTGATTTGGTGGGTGGTGGTGGTCGTCGGCGACGTGGTTGAGGAAGGAGGGAGAGGGGGAAGAGGAAGAAGAGAATCGTTCGAACGAACACGCGCGCTGTAAGATCCGTGCGGCGGGGTTGACCGTTGACTTTACGAGCGGCTCAGATTGTGTGCGGCGTGGGGTTGTGCCTCGAGATTCGTGTGGTGTGTGGCCGACTGGCCGGTGGCGGTGGAGCTCTCACGTAGGAGATGGACGGCTGGGATGGGGTTTGGTGCATGGACTTGGTGGTGTAGGGAGAGGAGTTAAGTGGTGTAATGGTGGATTGGTGGTCGTTCGGGCGGGTGGATGGATATGGATGAGAGGTGGGGGGATCGTGCGGGGCGGTGTGGACCGGGTTTACGCCGTGTTTAATATCCCGTGGAAGGATTAATGGATCTCTAGGCAGGTCCAGTCCAGGAAGGTGTAGCCTGCTGGTGCTGGACCATAATACTTGTTTTATGTAGGTAAAATTTGGACATGTAAAATTTTTATAATTTGTTACTAGTAGATATCATTAAAACGTTTCACGATTGAAAACACCCTACAAACTAATAATTTGTTGAAGAACACTTTCAGCTTAATTGAAAAGAGAGAAATTCTTCAAAAATTACAAGAATGCTCTCAGTGTCAAAAGTTTTTGAGCTGAGACTGAAGTGAAGATGAAATATTATTTTATGCTCTTAGTGTCAAAAGTTTTTAAGCTGAGTCCGAAGTGAAGATGAAATATTATTTTTTCAAATGATATGCTTGGGGTGATGATAAATTTAGAGTTACATAATTTTAAAATTTGTACTCTAGCACTATGTTTGAAGCATGTGGTTCTAGAGATATTCTCGTCTTTCTTAAGAATTTATCTCTCCAATTTAACCGAAAGTATTGTTTAGCAAATTACCAGTTTTGTATGATACTTTTTAGCTGTGATACTTTTTCAATGTCTATCATCCAATTCCATAAATTTTTAGATGTCTTGTATTAAAATTTGCCTTTTATGTACCCATATCAAAGCCGGTAAAAAGTACTACTTACAGATGCACAGAAGAATTTCAAAACACATTATAAATGTAGATGCTCGTACACATGTACGAATATGAGCACCTTAAAAAATTAGGCCATCATATCTTATAAATTGATGAAGTCGCCATACACATCTTGCTGTCGACAAATATCTCGTTTAGCAGTAAAAAATAATTAATCAGAAATTCAAGACACTTACCAAGTCTATAGCTGGACCTTCTAGTTGAGCTACGCTCACGGCTCGTCTTTCCTACCTACAAAATTTTCTTAGAAATCATTTTACACATCATTTACTACAATTGTCACTAGCTTCCAACTTTTAATAAAGAGTAAATTACATTTTGGACCATATATATGAATATTCTTATTAAAATTTCACTCTGTACTACCATTACAGTGATATTCCCACTTTGAACTGGGTATTGTTGCCAGGTAGTGTAATTTGGAACAGGTAACCTACATGTAAGTAACACACGGCAATCAAGATGATTAGTCTCATTGACATTTGGGCCATCCTGTCCAACGCGCGACACTTGGCAGCAATATCTAGTCTAAAGTGAAAAAATCACTTTAAGGATACCAAATTAAGTGAAACCTTGGTAAGAATATGTGGTACAAAGTACAATTTACTATAAATTAAATAGTTAAGAACTTTGTAAGAATGGCGCTCCTTAGCAATGCAATGGTTTTAATTTTGTACTACGTTAATGTAATTCTCGTGAAAGTTCTTCAAGAAAAAAAAACATCCATCCCAAAAGAGGCACTAAATTCATGTCACACACAAACATCTTCAACAAAAAAGGACCAACAGATGTGCAAATTCAAGGAAAACCACCATGTTCCTTGGACATCTGGACTCGTTAGTTCTAACTAGGCTAGGCGATGTTGTTTTAACGGGCTCTATAGGCCCTTTAGGCTTGGTGGCCTCGTCATGCTTGCCAGGCCTGGCATGGTCATCGAGGGATCGGACTTTTCATACTTTCGTGTTGTACAATACCACAAGCCCACGAGCGAATGACCTAACCCACCAGGAACCAAATACTCACTCCGATTTTAAGAGATTTTGACCATTATACTTTTTTAGGGTGTGTTCTTTTCTTTATTTTCTCAACTTTTCTCTCTCATTTCTCACGCGTACGCTTCTTAAACTACTAAACGATATATTTTTTATAAATATATTTATGTTGTTTTAAAAATCATATTAATCTATTTTTCAAGTTTTTTAAAACCAATACTACCAGATGTTAATTTGTCATTTATATTTTTTTCTCCGGGTTAATATGATTTTACTCCAAAGATATAAATATTGCAGATGTTACTATCGTTCATACTCCAAAGTAATGCGGCCATGTATATCTGCAAGCCAGCTTGCGACGACAGCGATCGATATCCATCCAATGGCAATTGGCAGCTCGCGCCCAGTAATCATAACAGCTTCACGTACGCTGTCACGCGCGGATCAAGGGGGTTTAGAGATTAGAACTCCGACCCCGACCTAGATCTCAATTTAGCCATGAAATTAATTTGAACCATATGCAGTTCGGAACCTGAACATGTTGCCTCTCCTTGTCCGATCAAGCCATAGAACACATGGATCGATCAATCCAAGCATAATGCGCCTCCCGATCAAACCGCAAAACCAATACTATTACTAGCTACTACTAATAAATTAAAGGTGATGGATCGGAGATCGTCTTAACTTGAAAAGGGCCACGTTATGATTGTGATGGCGATGACCTGACTGTTAATCCATCACACAGATTTAGTACTAGATATCTATAATCTCGATCGATCTCGAGCTCGATAAAGTACTGTTCCAGAAGCAATTAGGAGTACTCCCAAATTAATTACGGATCGAGTAGTGCCTGGTCCTTTTGTGTTTTGCGTGGTGGCAAGCGATGGACACTGGTGGAGAAACCATCTTTCGTCGGTCGGCCGATTTCCACAATAGTCCCGGATGCAATAAAAACCGGGGCTAAAGATGATCTTTAGTCCCGGTTCAAAAGGGTAACGGGCATATTTGATCTTTAGTCCCGGTTTGTGTTACCAACCGGGACTAAAGATCTTTAGTCCCGGTTCGAATGCTGTCAGGGCCTGTCAGGCCCTCCCGGGATCTTTAGTCCCGGTTGGTAACACCAACCGGGACTAAAGATCTTAACTTTAGTCCCGGTTGGTAATACCAACCGGGACTAAAGATCCCGGTGATCTTTAGCCCCGGTTGGTGCTACCAACCGGGACTAAAGTCTCACCCCTATATATATGTCTTCTTCCTCCTCCAGCTGCCCGAGCAAGCTTCAAAATTTCTTCAAAAAAGAGGGGAGGTCATGCCAAAATTTCTATTGAATTTATTTTGGTGATTACATACAAATCGGAGGTGCCTAAAAGGTTTGCAACTTCATCCTCCAATGTTTTTTTTTGTCATACTACATTTGCACCTATGTTTTGCACACTTTTTTTTCTCCAAAATTTAGTTGTAAGTTGATGAGAGAGAAAATGTGTGTGGGGAAGAAAGAATATATAGAAATTTAGTTCATTTGCTAAACAAGGTTTTATAAAATAGTTGAGAAGGAAAACTCTAGTGAAAGTTAATCTTAAATAATAGAAAACAAACTAAAATGAAAATTAAAAGAAGTAAAACACATTAAAATTAGTTTAAAACTTTACAAATAGTTTTTAAGAATTATTTGGTGTAATATTTTATGATTTTTGTATGAATAAAGATATCTTATAATTATTGTATGACTGTCATTATTGTAAGAATAATTATTTGTGTACGGTTTTTTTTGACTCATGTAGATGGATCGGCAATGGATGTACGCTGACCGGCGGTCCAAAGAGTTTATTGACGGCGTGCACTATTTTTTGAGAGTGGCTGAAGCTAATAGGCAAAGGGGTTTTATTTGTTGTCCATGCAATAAGTGTAAGAATCAGAAGGAGTATTCTGCATCCAGGACTATTCATTTCCACTTGTTTAAGTCGGGGTTCATGCCAAGCTATAATTGTTGGACATCCCACGGAGAGCAAGGTGTTGAAATGGAAGAAGATGAAGTGGAAGACGACAATATTCCGGACTTTGCTCAGTATGTTGGATTTGAAGGAAATCAAACGGGCGAGGAGGAAATAGCTGCTGATGGTAACGACGTTGCGGATGATCTTGGTCAGATGTTGCAGGACGCCAGGGAAGACTGCGAAAGTGAAAAGGAGGCCCATAAATTGGACAAGATGTTGGAGGACCACAAAACTTCGTTGTACCCAGGTTGCGAGCAGGGGCACAAAAAGTTGGATACCACTCTGGAGTTGTTGTAATGGAAGGCAAAAAATGGGGTTAGTGAGAAGGCATTTGGCGATTTATTGAAACTCGTCAAGAACATTCTTCCGGGGGGAAACAAATTGCCCGAGACAACGTACGAGGCTAAAAAGATAGTCTGCCCGTTAGGACTGGAAGTTCATAAGATTCACGCATGTCCGAACGATTGTATCCTATATCGTGGTGAGGAGTATGAGAACCTAGAAGCATGCCCTGTTTGTAAAGCACTACGATACAAGATTAGACAGGACGATCCAGGAGAAGTTGACGGGCAGCTAACAAAGAAGAGAATTCCTGCTAAGGTGATGTGGTATTTCCCTATAATACCACGGCTAAGGCGTTTGTTCAGGAACAAGGGGAATGCTAGAATGTTGCGATGGCACGCTGAAGAGCGTCAACAGGACGGGATGCTGAGACACCCCGCCGATGGTTCGCAATGGCGAAACATCGACATAAAATTTAAAGAATTTGGAAAGGACGCACGAAACATACGGTTTGGTTTGAGTACGGATGGCATGAATCCTTTTGGAGAGATGAGCAGCGGCCATAGCACTTGGCCCGTTACGATGTGTATCTACAACCTCCCCCCCTGGCTATGCATGAAGAGGAAGTACATAATGATGCCGATTATTATTCAAGGCCCCAAGCAACCTGGTAACGACATCGACGTGTACCTAAGACCACTGGTCGAAGATCTTAAACAGTTGTGGAAGAAGGAAGGTG